CCCCCCACACACACACAAAACAAATAAGATTATTTCTCCAAGGGGTTTATTTAGTAATCTAAAATCAATTTTTTCTTGATTTCAAAGGTGGCAAGTGTAGAAGTTCCTTTGTTTGTAACATTTCATTTCATCAACGCATACGAGGAAAAAGATGAAGATGGAAGAGTGACGGCTGTCATTGCAGATTGTTGCGAACACAATGCTGACACAACGATCCTGGAAAAGCTCAGGCTACAAAATCTCCGATCATTCTCCGGTGAAGATGTCTTACCTGACGCAAGGTATAATTTTGCATAACTAAACCCATAATCAATTCGAGTATGTTACCTAAATTTATGTCAAACTTATGTTTAAATAATTTTTAAATTTTATTTAGAAACTGTAATACTAAAATATTATTCAATGACTGGAACCTTTTTATTAGTGCGGACTTCACATTCTTCTTAATCTATTTAAGTTTTGGAATTGTCCCCCACTTGAATGTATCCAATTATATTCTGTGTTGAAATAGTTGTGGCCAATGCACTAGTATATATTTTACGTAGATTTTAATTACTACTTCTGCATGCATGTTCATTCGAACATATTATGTGGGCTATTTGCATTAACTCAGTGTACCTAGGATCATAGTCACAAATCCTAGGATAAAGGAATCGGAACCTTAATTAATGTCAGATAGGTACCATATAGAAGCCTGTACCTATATAGAAGCCTATTCATGTATTTGCAATTTGCCTAATTTGCACGTTCTTTTACTCCTAGCTCTTCCCTCGTTGACGACGAAAAAAAGTCAATAATTTTGATTTACTCAGAATGTATGGTTCACAACTCATTGAAGCATCGAGAGTTACAATAACGTAAACCTTGTATGAAATTGTTCGAAAGAAGTAAAATTACCGACTAGTACTGGGTCGTGTGTACAGGGTTGGCCGGTTCAGAATACCAATGGATGGGAGTCCATTTGGGAAGTTGGATGCAGCATTGGAACCAGAAGAACATGGAAAAGGAATGGACATGTGTAGCATCAATCCTGCTTATTTGGGAAAGAAATACAGATATGCCTATGCTTGTGGCGCTCAACGCCCTTGCAACTTCCCAAACACCCTCACCAAGGTAAACCAAAACATTGAATTAGATAGTAAGATTTGTCGTGTCTTCCTTCTTGAGTTATGTTTTGTTTTGTGACTCGTATCTTGTTCAACTTACCAAATATGTAGATAGTGTCTATATATGCATAGGCATAACATCATACTCTTGTTTTGTTTTGCAGATTGATCTATTTGAGAAAAAGGCGAAGAACTGGTGCAATGAGGGCTCTGTACCCTCCGAACCATTTTTTGTAGCTCGTCCTGGTGCAACGGAGGAAGATGACGGTAAGCTAACAGCAAAACTTTCACAATTTTCCAATACTATATTCTAAACATGTCTTTACATATTTTATCCCTGCCAGTTTATTCCAGCCAAATAAGTATATATGAAAAGTGGTGCCAAAACACTTCTTACATATTTAAAACGCACGACTAGACAAGACAAGACGAGACAGAGATAATTATTTATCTTAGTTAATCCTGTCTAATCCCATTCAGTAATGAAAACAATGTATTGCAACAGTCCATTCTCTACAAACCCCTATCCTTTTGCAGTTTCCTTATGGAACCATTTTTCCAAGTTTTTGATAATTCTGAAGTCATGTTCAAGGACTGTATGTTTCAGACGAGTCCTAACAAGTGTAAATTCACACACAGGGGTAGTTATCTCGATGATTAGCGACAAGAATGGTGAAGGGTACGCTCTCCTACTTGATGGATCCACATTTGAGGAAATTGCCAGAGCAAAGTTCCCTTATGGCCTTCCATATGGACTCCATGGATGTTGGGTTCCAAAGGCTTAAACTTGATGAATATATATGCATTAGTGTTTCATAGGTGTTCAGACATAAAATCTATATGTCAATATACAGATGATACTTGTAAGAAAAAAATGTTAGTGATAATCAGTATGATATGTTTTTTTTTAGTAAAATGCATTGCGTCTACCAGAACTACATTGTATGTGAAGTTCAGATCATCTTACTAATGAAGTTATTAGTGGTACGGATTAAGCCTACTCCCAAACCCGAGAGCAATAATTAACAATTCAGACAACAGAAATGCACACAGAAACAAATAAATCTATTGTAGTTCATAATCAATATGAGAGTTGTGTCCACTCAATGCTGCAGATGTTTCAACATAATGAGAAAGGGATTATAATGTTTTCTTCCTCACACGTCTCCTTCTAATCTGACGTGCCCTCTTCGATATAGTGTAAGAAACTAGGGTGGCTTAATACAAAACATGAACACCTGGTAAATCCATATAATATGAAAAATTCATGGTCGAGTCCATAAGTGAACATTACAATTAGGCTCTATCTCTATGTAATCCAAAGTCAGCATGTCAATATCTCAAATGTTTTAAAAGGGAGATGAAAAATAGACAAGTGTACAAATTTCATTATCAAGAAACAAACTGTAGTTCATTTTTTTCGACAAGACAAAATATGAGAGGGAGACACATCTCCTAAAACAATGATGTAATATTTCTGTTCTTTGATGCTGTAATCATCGAATTAAAGTAGTAAATAAATTGTTTCCAGGATAAAGAATAGTAAGAGGCCACCTGAAGTCGAATACGTTTTGATGAGATGCATTTCAGATTCCTCCTATCATCAAGTGTAAAGGCTTGGGCCAGAGAGCAAAGCCACAGATACCAATCTAATGGCCCCAAAACCTCAGTTTTATGCTGAAGGTTAAAAAAAGCACTGATCTGACTTTTCAACTGGGGTAATATCACTTTTGATCTGTATATACAGCATCAACATCGTCCAGCTTGAGCAATTTGGACATCAATTCCTTGTTCAAGTCCATGGCCTCATCATCAACCTGCGACCCACAAAATAAGCATTGATATCATTGCACCAAACATGATATGAGGATATAATTTTACATTGGACTAATGAGCAACGATTATCTTCAGAATGAACACTTAGAATTTCATTGAAGGATATAATTTTGTACAAATTCTTTGTTTATGTACACGGACCAGCTTATCTCGTAGATTGCTATTACCTTATGACACTAATAGATTCGCTTTTAATTAGCTCAAAATTTCCAAGTAGAATGTATGAGAAAGAACCAGGCAAAAGAAAATAAATGGAACAAAAACCCGTTTTCTGTATTGGCATACCTCAATCGGAGTAAGAGGAAGAAGCTCGAATCCATTGTCAGGTTCAAATGTTATTCCTTCCTCGCGTAGCTTTGTTAATATGGTGGGGTAGTTCTCTGATGAACTTACAATTTTAAAATATCTACAGCAAAATTCAAGCAAAAGTTAAAAATAAAATAAAAATCTGAAAAAAATATGTACATGAGCATCATCCTCAACAGGATACTCAATTAAGAAAGAAAATATGTAACCTTTTCAGTATATTTATCAGCCTTGCATGTGCAAGATAAATACTTATCTAGCATTTTACAAGATCCAGCATATATTACACATATTTGGAGTGCAGTTCGAAGCAGAATATACATATTTGGAGTTCAGTCAAAAGTTTGAACCTTACATTTGAATCATGTCCCTACCAAATTATGGACACGAGACTCTTCTGAGCACAAATTACCTATGTCTGACATATTCTATCATAAAACAGAGTACAGTTAAAATTATATTATCTTTCTAACCAAATGTAATTTTATAGCAGATTCATGTAAAACGCAAACATAAAGGGATCAGGACAACCGAATACTTTGAGGAGCCATTGATAACATACATACATACGTAGGAACAATATCTTGTACCTTTCATTCATTTCCTCCTCGGCATCATCTTCGTCCACTGAGGGTTCAATGACATCATCAGCGCCAGCATCCAAAGCAACAGCAAGAATCTGATCTCTATCAGCATCTGTAACTTTTACATTTACAACCCGAGCACGTTTAAATTTGAAACTGATGGATCCAGGATCTGCCATTTTTCCCCCACAATCCTTCACTACCTCTCTGACAGCTGCCACCGATCTGTTTATTTTATCCGTCAACACCTCAACTATTATGCCAACTCCACCATAGCCATAAACCTAAATATGCAAAAGAAAACAAGCATAATTTGAGATTTGTGCAACATTGGCTATAAGGTGAACTGTGATGAGTCTGATTACATTATCTTTTAAGGGAAAACTGCACTGGAGTCCCCAATTATTGCACAAGTGGCAAGTTGGTCTCCAACCTCTAAAAAAATGAGCAAGTTGGTTGCCAACCTTTCATTATTGTTGCACAATCAATCCTCGTCGATAGAAAACGCCCAAATCTCTGTTATGCCTTCAAGTGTCCAACTTTACAAAGCTATATTTTGTTTACCAACTTGGGCCAGGTGCTGAGAAATTTGGAGTGACACACATTTCCATAATAGACATGTGATAATTTACCGGAGACTTGGATGCTTTCTTTCATTAGAGACTAATTATGCAACTATAAGGTCGAGGACCAACTTGCTACTCAAGCAATAGGTCTCACTGACGCTGAAATTTTTCCTTATGTTAATAAGAACGGATATTGCAGATTATGTGGCCACTACCTCGTATACTTTCTCAATATAAGCTTCCTGGCCCTTCTCAGAAGCTCTCTTGATGTTGCGCTCTATGATTTCCTTAGGTACATCGAGCTCCTTAGCTTTCTCAAACAATGCAGCAAGAGCTGTATTTGACACTGGACTTGCACCACCTTTCTTGACCCTAGGACATTCACATAGAAAAATCAGGATCTTGGTATCATTTTAAAAATCTCATGCTATCTCTCCATACAACAGAAAAATTAATAAAAGAAGCAAATTCCTTAATAAAGAAAGGTGTTGGCTTTGAAAACGGAAACCGGTGGTAGATGGTCTACTGAAAAGCCTAAAGGGTGTAAACAGCAAGCAAGGCCCTTGTTATGGGTGACCTGACCACATAACCAGTGCTCCGGCCAGCTGTCATTGTAACCAACCCACCAGTCTCAAACCCGCTACTGTCCCAAACAGTATGTTACAACACAACTCCTCGGCCCCCTTTAAAAGAAACGTGAAATTTAGTTTCTTTCTGATTGCTCACCACATATGTTTTGCAGTCTTAATGAATATAATTCTGTGTGTTTGTACAATGTAGGTTTGTGTATCTTCTGGATCCTACCAAACATAGGCCACGAATTATAATTTGTCATATCACGTGTGGAAAGGTTGTAGAAACTAACTTACGCAGATACGACTTCCTTCCCAATTTTTGAATACAGCTTCGTCTTCTTAGCATCTTGGGCAGTCTGCATGTAAGACGCATTTCTGAAAAATTAAAATCTAATCAAAAGGAACTCTTATTTTCAACCTCAAAAAATTAAAAAACAGATTATGAAGAGATTCTAACGATCAAATACCGACGCATCATGTTTCTCGTTTTTCTATGGACAAACAGACTTGTTCACTGTCACAACTCAATTAAACAGATTGAAAATGGAGATACTAGAACAAGGATTATATGATAGAATATGAAATATAATTGCAAGATCTACCCAATAAGATGCCCATCAATTTGATGTCATCTTCATTTAAACAAGGGTAAATTTAAACGAGACTACAGCAGTCATTCATCCAGATCAAAATTGCATAATCCTATCTTGTCAATTTAAAAAATAAATGAATAAATAAATAAAAATAATCACACTTTGAAAATTATGATACCAATCCTGGTATATCATTCACTGAAATGCTCTACAAAAATCCTTAAAATATATGTCATCAAGGTTGCATTTATAACAATCAGATCAACAAGTGCCAGAGTACTTCTGACAGTTCTAACATCACAAACACTAGCGCAAAAACAAAAACACAAGCAATTGAAACATACATTGATCCTCCTCCTCTGACCTCATTTTTAATCAAATAACTTGATAGCAAAATTTGCTCCAAAAAAGTATTAATAAGTTGCATTCAACATCTGTACCATGTGGCTACCTTTCTTCCAGCAATTTTGCAGGAACGTCTACCCATACATAGAAGAGGGAAAGTCGAAATCTTTCTAATGGAATTGACCGGATGAAGCTCATATACCGAGACCCATAACCCAGAAGGTGAGTAACACGAAGAAGATTGTAGCTTTCTACTTAAACGGCATGTTCCTGAACAAAAATTAAAAACAAAATTCAATATGATCAAATCTCAAATCTTCAATCAAAATTGTAGCTTTCTAGTTAACAACCGTGTTCGTGAATAAAAATTCAAAATAAAACTTTCTATAATCAAAGCCCAAACTTTCCATCAAAATCTTAATCAAGACTACAATTGCGTGTATTTTGTGGGTACATTAAAAATCCCAATTACAAATTTTCACATAAAAATCCAATCTTTAATGTCTGTGCCTTTCATATATATATATATATATATATATATATAT